GTTGCCCAGGTTGGAGTTCAGTGGTGCAACTTCCTGGGCTCAAGTGACCCTCCCACCTCAGTAGCTGGGACTGCAGTTGCATATACTTTGCTTATTTTTACAATGTGTGTATTGGTGGGGGTCTCACTATGTTGCCCAGGCTGACCTTCAACTCCTGGCTTCACATGATCCTCCTGCCTTGGCCTCCCAAAGTGCTGAGATTCCTGGCTCTAAGACTTGTAACTACCTATTCTACTTGATTTAATGGTTATACATCCCCAATTTTCTGTTTGTTCTTGAGGAAGATTTAGTAAGATATTTTTCTAGGACAGTGTTCATCTTGTGGAGGGTTTCAAAATTATTGCCATAGGTTTATAGTTTATTTTATTTTATAGTTGATTACAGTATTTTATTTTATTTTAAAAATCTGCAGCATCTGTGGTTACGTTCTTCCTGTTGGTCCTCGGGTTATTGATTTGTGCTCTCTTTTTCATGATCAGTCTTGTCAGAGGTTTGTCAACTTTGTCATTTCTTAGAGCTTTTGGTTTTGTTAATCTTTTCTATTGCATATATATTTTCTATACTTCTGGTTTTGTCTTTGTTATTTCTTTCCTTTGGGCTTATTCTGTTGCTCTTTTTTAACCTGTTAAGTGAAGTACCCCCCTTAGCCATAGAAGGGTGACTGACCTGCCTGCAGGTGACTGCAGCCGGCAGGCCTGGCCCTGCGGGCTCGTGACTCCCCTGTCTTCCGTTTCCTCTGAGGGCATAGGGAGGGAGGCCAGTGCCTAGCCCCGATGTCTCAGAAGGAAAGGGCATTAGGGTTTCTTGAGGAAAGGAGGGCAAAGCAGGTCTGTCTAGGCAGTTGGAAACATGGGAACGACAGCTGGGTTGTCTTCCCTGCAGCTGGTTCCCACAGTTCTTCCAGAGCCAGGCCTGAGGTCACTTAGTCCTTAGGGTGTTGGGAGCAGGAAGTGCTGAGGTGCTAGGGGCGGGCTAGTGGGTTAGGCAGCCTGGTTCCCTAGGGAGGGAAGCCACCCAGACCTGCAGGGGCACGGGAGGGAGGGCGCAGGGGAGGAGAGTGCTCCCATCCCGCCCACCAACTGAGCTGAGCTCCCTCTCCTCCGGCCCATCCAGAAGGGAATTCTGGCAGAACCACTTCTGGACCTGTCTCTCTCCACCCCCCAATCCTGCACCCTCATTTAACCTCCCTGACTCTGACAGGGGCTTGGGTCTATCTTGGGGCCTGGCTGCCATCCTGGGAAGGGAAGGGGAGCAGATCAGAACTTAGCCTCTGGCTCCAGGCTGCTGGACTCTGGCTGGGCCTCACGTTCTCCTGAAGGGAGCACCTCCCCTGCCCTTCACAGGGTCTGCCTTTGTTCCCGAGTCTTTGCCCTGTTTGGAGCAGTCTTCTTGTGACCCCGGTGGCCATGTGGCTTGCCCTGAAGAAGGTGAGTGAGGGGAACTGGTGCACAGGGTTGTTGATGGGTTGCTGAGTAGTGAGGAGTCATGGCAGGAAGCAGCCTGAGCCCCTGAGGGGCAGAGCCAAGGAGCCAAAGCCAGCACCCCCAGAGCCGCTGTCCATGAGCGACCTGAGAGCAGTGGCGCTAGGAAGGCCACCCTCCAGCCCGCTGCCGCTGCTCTAAGCTGCCTCCTGTCAACATGCCTTCCTTCCAGGTGGCTACATGAGGACACCATGGGGCAGCTGGCTAGTTCATTTCATCCTGGAGTCAGCGCATGTGGATCGATGGTGACTCCCGGAAAGCAGTGATCAATTGGCCACATCTGTCAGAGCTGGGATGGGAGGAGGCATGCCAGGGGCCACAACCGTGTAGTGTCAGCCCCTGAAGGAGAGAAATCAATTTCACGTCAGTTCTATGGGGTTCATGCTGAGATGTGAAAGGCTTTCAGCCCCTGAACTCCCTGGGACTGCTGGGCAATAGACCGTGGAGTCCATTCTATTATTTAAAAATGGCAGGCCTAGGCAGAGGTGGATGGATTCCTTGAGGCCAGGAGTTGGAGACCAGCCTGGGCAACATAGCGAGACTGTCTCTACAAACAAAACAAAACAAAACAAAACAAAACAAAACAAAACAAAACAAAACAAAACAAAACAAAACAAAATTAGCCAAGCATAAAGGTGCATGCCTGTAGTCTCAGCTTACTCTGGAGGCTGAGGTGGCAGGATCCCTTGAGCCCAGGAGTGCAAGACCAACTTGGGCAATATAGAGAGACCCCCATCTTTTTTTCTTTGAGACAGAGTCTCACTCTGTCACCCAGGCTGGAGTGCAGTGGCGTGATTTTGGTTTACTGCAACCTCCGCCTCCCGGGTTCAAGTGATTTTCGTGCCTCAGCCTCCCAGGTAGCTGTGATTACAGGCGCATGCCACCACGCCTGGCTAATTATTGTATTTTTAGTAGAGACGAGGTTTCACCGTGTTGGCCAGGCTGGAGAGAGAAGCCCATCTCTACAGTAATAATAATTTAAAAATCAGCAGGGCAGGGCGGCATGCAGCTGCAGTCTGGGCGCCTTGGGAGGCTGAGTCATGAGAAGGTTTCAGCCCAGGAGTTGAAGGCTGCAGTGAGCTGTCATCTTACCAATGCACTCCAGCCTGGTCTCCTTCTTTGAAACAGAAATAAATGAAAAATTTACAAATGGCAAACCTGAGCCCTCTTGATTTGAGGTGACAGAGGAGGAGGTGGACAGCAGGCTGCCTGCAGGCTATGCTGGCCTGGCGTGGGCGCCTCCGCGTCAGTGCGCAGGGTCACACAAGCACGTGCTTGCTCTGAGCAGCAACTGCCCCAGCTCAGGGTAGCTTGGCCTCACTGTTGCTGGTGTGTGTTTCCTGGGGTCTGCTTTGGTGGCCTGCTCTTCATGTGGTGCTGGCTGCCCACGTGGCCTTAGTGCTGCCCCACCCCCTGCCCCACCCCTGCCTGGCCAGAGAGCCTGACTGCCCACTCTTAAGTACTTCCTCTTCTGGCCTGTGACCATGGTGATTGTCTGTTCCGGATTTGCTAGAAGGCCAATTTTGCTTTCCTCAGTAAAGATGTTTTGAAATTCGTGTTTACACTTTCATAAGTTTTTTTCATATAGGTAAATGGGTGTATCAGGAAACAGTTCTTTGACAAATTGTCTTGGTTTCTGCCTCATAAATATGTGGTCATTCGGCCTGGAGTGATGGTCTCTGAACTGTTCACCTGCCCTCAGGCTGGACCTTGACCTTGTTGAATTCTCCTCCTTGGAGAGGCCTTCCTTGAATGTTCACCCTAAAACAGTCTCTCCCCATCACCGCAGCTGAAAGCAGCGGATGCCCCCCTCCCCCGCAGCGTGAACTTCCCCTGTCCCCTTCACTGCATACCCCCAGCACCTAGAACAGCACTCTGCAGGTGGTCACAAGCTTATAGTTCAGTTCACCCTGATTTCCAGGACTAGTTCTGGGTCACTGCTCTCAGCCAGAAACCAGTACATCCTGGGACCCCTTACCAGGAACATTCTAAGTCGATGACTGATGAGTTTGACGTTCTCCCATCTGCAAAGGGTCAGTATGGAGGGAGATGCATCGACCGTAGCTCTCCATCCCCATGGCAGACAGGCCCAGAGGGGCCTGGACCACCAGATGGCTTGTATCAGAACAGAATGGTCCCCCGCTCACTGGAGAGACAAGTATTCATCCTAGATGACCTCAGGGGCCCGAGATGTGGCGAATGGTGCCATTGGCCTGCATCCGGCACAGAGAGCAGCAGGGCCGTCTTGCCCCTTGGCCCTCTCCCAGGCCCTGGCTGAGCTGGGTCCCTGCAGAGTGCTCTCAAGGGGCCAGTCCTCAGCTTCCCAGGTCAGAGAATTCCCAGGATGGGATAGGTCATAGCTGGCTTCCAGCTCATTCTGGAATTTCCCATTTCCTGGGAAGAGGGTGAGGTCAAGTTTCCTTTTTCTTTAGCTAAGAACAATAAGACCCAGCCTGGGGAAGGTGCTAGAGCTGTCGGGATTTCTAGGTGTTTGGAGTCCTGGTCACTAGGAGAGCTGGGTGCCTTCTCTGCAGGTGTCCTGGGGCAGAGGGCCCAGCCAATCGCTCTCCTCCTCTGATGCCTCGGTGTTGCTGGAGAGCTGCCCCATCTCGAGCCCCCGTGGAGCTGAGCTGAGCACTGCCCTGACTGTGAACATCTGGCCGAGTCCCCTTCCTCTCCCAGTCCTCATGTCAGCCTTCCTTGCTTCCTTACAGCCACTGGGCTACCGTCACATCCATATTCTTCCCAGAATCTTGGCATCCCTTCCGGCTCCCAGTAGGGCACCTGGCGTACTGGGGCTCATGATATGTTTGCTGAATTGCTCTCTGTGGCTTTGTGCACTGTCCCCAACAATCTTTCCCCCATCCTTTCATGGGGCCCATTGCTTCTGCATTTCAGGAAGATTGGACCCAGGGGCCAGACAAACTAGACCCTGTCTCTGAAGTCAGGTCTTGGGAGCTGATGTCTGGCATGACCCATGGGACAGCCTCCACCACACCCTGACATGCCCTCACTCTTCACTGAAGAAAGCCAAGCAGGCCAGAGGTGGTCCTCATCTCCCCACTGGGGGCCTATGGGCTGTCAGGGGGCCTCCTCTCTCCAAAGCACCCTTTGGTCTCTGTTGTAACCTGCTTTCTGGACCGGCTGAAAGCTTTGTGTGTGTGTGGTCAGGGAGGTGGGGTGAGCGGGTGTATGCATGTATCTATGTATTAGAGGGGTCAGGCCCACACACACGTGGTCAGTTTTCAGCTCTGCACCCCCAGCTCCCAGTGCCCACCCATTGGATGACTCACCTGAGCTTCCCACACCCACATCTCCTTTATGAAGAAACGGCTTCCTAACCATGGCACACGAGTGCATTATTCTGGGGAAAGGAATGGTGCTGCTGCGGCCAGGGGGGAGCAGCTTGAGGGGCTGAGGGCACCAGTGTCCTCCTCAAATCCTCACTGAGGAGAGGCTCTGATTTAAGGCGAGCCCTCCCTGTTGGGAGAGCAAAAGAAACGGCACGACACGGTGTGCTCAAGTGACATCTTTCAATATAATCTCTAAAACTCTATGAATTGAACAGATAAAATACCTCTGGGCTATTTTGTTACAAAATATTTGCCATTTGGATTAGTTGCTGGGTGCAGCCACCCTGCCTTTCCTTAGAGAGGTTTCTCTCTGATGGGCGAAGGGTGTGCGGGGAGAGGCAGCAGGAGGTATGTACAGCAGACACAGGGACGGACGGACAGATGGTCTTCAGGGAAGCCTAGTAGGTACAAAGAGACTCCTGGCAGGCCACGGGGGCTGGTGTGTGTGGGGGGCGGCGAAGACGCAGGGCTGATCAGCGTGTGCTGGATCAAGACATGTGGAGACAGGCAGGCAGGCTTCCAGAACAAGCTGCCGGCAGGCCTCGTTTCAGATCTAGGAGTGGGATTTCCCTAAAAGTGGGCGGAAAACTAGTTTCATCTCCTATTGCAGACTGGAGTTGGGGCCAAATGGATCAAATCAGGAGAGGGGACCAGGTTTCCCAAAGGTGGGGTGGAGTGGGGCCATCTTGGGGTGATTGGGTCTGGGGCTTAGTCAGCACCCTACTCTTCCCGCAACCTTGGAAGAGCAGGAAGGCCCAAGGGCACCCACAGCTGGCGCTCTGCGGGGGCTGGAGGCCCTACCCTGTCTGATGTCCTGGGGAGGGAGCAGGAGGCTTTTCCCAGCTCCCTGAGATCTGGGCTCTGGGGACAGGGACAGAGGGGGCCCCAACCTTGGCCTGGGGACTTAGCAGGGAAGGGAGGTTACTGATGCTTTCCCCTGACGATAAGGAGGGCCAGCTGTGTCCTGCCCCAGGCCCTCAGGGGTTAAATGCCCCTCTTAGCTCAGGACTGGCTCCCCAGGGTGCTGACCCGAGGCTGGGCTGCTTCATAGGCAGACTCCCTGAGCTGCCTATGCAGGGCAGCACTGCACCAACCCAAGGGGCGGGCCTCTGCCCTGGGGCAGGGGCCTTGAGGTGCCTGATAGTCCTGGTTCTCGGATAGAGGCCCACATGTGAGCCAGCCCTAAGACTTTTGCTAGCTCCAATTTGGAAGGCTGGGGCTTCAGCTGAAGTGAGAGGGAGGGCCTGGGGTTGCTGTGCCCCTCAACAGGGGAGAGGGCACTTTGTAAGCTTGAAGAGCTATGTGATCAGGGGACCGCGTCCTGCCTGTCAGGCTGGGGCTGTCTGGAGCAGTGTCCCGGGCCCCCACGGCCCCCACCCCATGAGTATATTTAGCCAGTCTCATAGCTCCTCTTCCCCCATACCTCATACTCCTGCCTCTTCGTCATTGTTTTCACTCTATTTTCAGCTTCTCTTATTTTAAGATTCCTCCACTCCCATTCTCACAACCCCACCTCCTCCCAAGTCCCTGACACCTCTTCTCCAGGCCTTCACTTTAGGGGCGATCCCTGCCCTGGCCAAGGGCATCAGAGGTGTCTCAATTTGTGCACCACATCTGCCAGCTGCTCCCTTCTGCAAGGCAATGACTGGAGCATCTCTGTTACAGAGAACAGAGGACGGCCAGGGCAGCAAGGAAAGGGAGAAGCAGACAGGCTGGCAGCCACAGGGGAGAGGGCAAATTGGCTGCAAGTTACAGAAACTGGGACGACAAAGACAGGGCCAGAAATAGACTCGCTGGGTGACATCACAGTGACGTCTGGGTGACCACACACACACACACCCACACACGAAATGAAACTAGGTCATCTGGAATCTTTGAGAGCAGGGAACAATCCTTGCCTCCTACCTGGCCCCCGCTACTGCAGGTGGGGCTGGGCGGGGGGTGGGGAGATGCAAGTCCATGTCAGACTTGATTCGTGTTCACTGCCTCTCCCAGGAGGCCTTAACCACAGGCTCCAAGTTGCAGGGAGACCTGCACACAGGACAGCAATGAGCTGCTGGCACAGGGCTGGAGCCTGGCCGGGCTTGGGACAGATTCAACCTGATAGGGCCTGACGGGGAAGGCCATGGTACGGCTCCTGTGGTCTCTGGGGCAGCTGCCTCTCCTCCGGCGAGGGAGGGGCCCTTCCCCAGGCTTGGGCTTGTGGAGCCACCTGAGGCTGGCTGTCCCATCCTGAAGGGGTGATCTGGGCCCTGGGAGTCAGTGAGCTCCGCTTGGCTCTCCTTTGCAATTTTGAGGGTCCAGGGACTCTTGGGCACCCTTGATGGAGGGGGTGTCTAGAACCTTTCAGGAGGGGGGAATATTTAAAGGCTGAGGGGCGCAGGGGAAACGCATATGCCTTTGGATCCCCTGTTTTTCTTGCTTACCTCTGCACCCAAGTCCCTCCTGGAGGCCACAGACGCATGCAAGAGGGAGCCCTGACTTGGACCGAACCCCGTCTCCACTTCTGCTTCCTCGATGGAAGAAATGGACTTGGTTCTCACGCACGTTCGTGTGCATGTGCCTGTGCGCACGTGGCACTGGCTGGGTATTAGCTGGGGCTAGGGAACTAGGAAACTCTTTTAAAAGGTGCATTTGCAGATACATGACCTCACAATCCCATGGCCCTGTTGAATTGACTGGCAGAGAGCTAAAAGTGCTCCCCTTCCCTCCTCTCTCTCTCTAAGCTTTTCTAGAGTCTGGGCAGCTCCTGAGGAAGCAGAGGTCCTGGGAAGAGGGAGAAGAACACTGTCAGGAAAGCCAATGTCCCTGGGGACCAAGGAATAGCCTCCTGAGAGTGCCAGGCTTGGGGGTGGGGGCAGCAGAAAAAGCCCCCCTCCTCACTCCTCCCACCCTCCAGGGAGCTGGACCAACCCTCCTCCCCTCAGCACAGCCACAGAGGCGCTAGTCATGGACTGTGAGCCAGAGGTCTTCTGTCTAGTGCTCCGCTGCTGGCCAGGCCAGCCCCGTGCTGCTGCCCCATGGCCTGAGGCCCCCACCCCCGGCACTAACGGACTCAAAGCCCGCAAGCTAGTTAGACCCTCAGCTCCAGCTTTCTTCACTCCATGGTCCAATGGGGGAAAGTGGCGGCCAGGGGAAGTGGTGGCCCAGGAGAGTGAGGTGGTATCTTCAGATCTGGAGGTGGGGTGCAGCCGAGAAAGGGAAGGATGGCTGGATGAGGCAAACCCAGGTGCCAGGGGTTGGGATTCTTTTCCCAAAATGATGGCGATCAGTGACCAGGAACGCATCGTGCCAGGGTATGGGGAGCAGCGGAGGGGCAGCGCAGGCCCTGCAGTGGCCAGCCCTCCCCGGACAGCAGGGTAGTGGGGCAGAGTCTACACCAGGCTCCTTGAACCACTGGAGTAGCGGCGTCGGTGCAGCAGGGAGCCTGGTGGACAGAACTGGTGAGGGTGATTGTAGGGGGGTGGGGGCGGGGGCAGCGGGGGCTGGTGGATGACCTTGACCGGGGAGCCGGGGCCGCCCAGGGGTGTGGAGCCACAGGAGTCGGAGGAGGACGAGGTGTAGCAGGAGAGAGCCTGGCTCAGCAGGGGCTCCATGCGGGCCAGGCAGGGCTTGTCCAGGACAATGACCTTGACAATTTGCTGGCACTGCACCAGGGTGCCCGGGGGTGTGGGTGGCGGGGGTGGCGGCGGTGGCGGCAGCGGCGGTGGGGGCTGCTGTCTCAGGGGGCTAGGCTGCAGGTCTGGCGGCAGTGCCGGTGCTCCCTTCTCGGCTCCCAGCCCGGAGTTGTGCTGGGACGTTTGAAGCCTGTTGTGAATTGACACCTAGTTTAGAAACAGCCAGAGAAGCATGAAATGTTACAAGACTAATTCCCAGCTGCTAGGACAGGCTGCCCTGAGCCTCCCCTGTCCTCCCTCCCACCTCAGCCCTTACTCCGACACTCTCCCCATCTCTCCATCTGCAGGAAGACTGGGTTCTGACCCTGGCTTTTGCCCAGGAGGGAGAGAGGAGTCAAGAGGCTGGCATGTTCTGCCACTGACCGTGAGCAGCGTCGCTCTGCGGCCTCAGTCTCCTCATCTGTGAGGTGGGCTCTGCATAGCTCTGCGCCTGACTTCATGGACCTGCTGGGTGTCTCTGGGCTATGGGAAAACTACTGTCCACCTCCTTTTCCACCACACTCTGAGCTTGAAAGCCGAGGTCATGGTCTTTGCTCCTCCCCACCCCCCAGGAGTGTGTTGAGGCAAAGGAGGTCAGATCCAGGGATAGAGCCAAGCATTTTCGAGCCTTTCATGTCCCTCTGTTCCCTCCAGCCTTGTTACAGAGGAAGCCTCACCGGCATCTTTGACATCATAGAGGCTTAAACCCCAGAATGCCAGGGATCCCTGAAGGGGTGATCTGGACCTACCTGTCCTCCGAGACTCCCCAAGGCCATGACCCTGCAATTGGAGAGCAGCCCAGACAACCGAGGGCAGAGCCAGCTCCCCAGCTGCCGTTTTGGCCCAAGCTGGGTCCTGGTTAACTTGCCTGGCTGCAGGAGGGTATCCCCAGAGAGGGCTCTAACCTCGATCCCCGAGGCGGGGCAGGAGGATGTGGCCCAGATGGTGCTCATGAGCCCCCTCCCTCAGACCATGGAGTTCACTATGAACTAGCCTGGCCTCCCCTTGCTAGCAGGGGGAGGGGGAGGAGATGGGTGGAAGGGAGGCTAGAGGATTCTGGAAGGAGAGGGATTTAACTCCTCACACTGTTCCACCCCCAAGCTGCCCTGCCTATGACTAGGACACCATGCACCCCCTCCAGACACCTGGTCCTCTGGGGGAGGCTGAGACCCCCCTCCTCTCTGGTGATTTTCCTGTTGGGCTGCCATCTGTCCTCGGGCAGCACCACCTAGGGCTGGTGCTCAGAGCACAGAGGGGGAAATGGAAGCTGCAGGGGAGGTACCTCGTCCAGGCCTAGACCCAGCTGGCCCAGCCCAAAACTGTCCTGGCGCCCTAAAGCAGCATTTCCTCATCCTGTTGGCTACAGCTGGAATTCAGGGAATACCTTTCCCGGACCTGTGCACTCCTAGGGCCGGCTTCCCTCCCAAGGCTCCCCAGCCTTTGTCTGCCCCCCCAATATTCACGAGCCCTCTGCCACACTCGGCATGTCGCAGGCTTTATTCTTCCTTCTCAGCCTCCAACCTTGGCACATTTTCCAGGCCTGAGGTCCTGCTACACAAATGAAAGGTGCCCTGAGCCCCTCACTGTCCTTCTAAGAAATGGCAGGCAGAGAGCATGGCTGGGGCCCACCTGCCTCTGGGGAGCCCTCCAGGGTCCTCACTCAGGCAGAAGCCGCTGGAGGGCACAGGCTCCTCTCCCTCCTGCTTGTATTCTGAATTCCTCCCCAGGAGCCAGGACAGGCTTGTGCTCATCTGCCTTCCTCCACCGGGACCTAGTAGTGGCCCCTTGCCAGGTGAATTTCTGGCTGTTCCAGTCCAGATCCACTGAGCTGTCCTTCCCTCTGAAGCTCCTGCACAGCACCCGCTCGGGGCCACAGCCTGTGCCTCCCATTCACCCCTCTCGCTCTGGTCCCTCCACTGCACCCCCATCCCCATCCCAGTTTTGATCCTTTCTCTTTAGTGGTCAGTAAGTGAAAAGCAGGAAGTGACAGCAAAAGGTCCTGTCTGATCCCCTTCTCACCTCCCTGCTCATGAAAGAAAGAATGAGGGGAGCGGGGAGACAGAGGATGGAACATGAACAGCAGGTCAGAACAGCTCAGAGAGGATGGAGAAGCGCCTGCCAGAGGGCCTTGGTCAGCAACGGCAGAGAGGGCAGAGGAGAGAGCTTGGGGTCCAGCTGAGGCCATGGGCGGCGAGGCTGTCCTCTGTGCGGGAGAGCAGAGGCTGGCGGGGCCCTGGAGCTAGCTGAGGGTGGCAGCCTTGCAGATAGCCACATGCCCTTAGGCAGGGCAGGAGGGAGGAGAGCGTCAGGCTGGTTGTCCTCCCTGGGTAGCTCAGGCTAGGGCAGGACAGGGCTGGCAGAACGGAACGGAGAGCTGGGCACTTTTGTGCTTATCTGCAAGGCTCAGGAATGGGCAGCTGCAGAGGATGGGGAGCGGAGGGGGCGGGGAATGGAATACCCACCCTGGGGGCTTGTCAGCTGCTGGGGCAGGAAGCTCCTCCTTGTAAAGGTGCCTCCTCCAGACACGGGTGTGTGGGGGGTGGGGGCCGTGGGATAGAGAGAAGACACTGAGCTCCCCTGGGGTATCCTGCTGCTTCCCAGGGCTTAGTCAGACTGGTGGGTAGGGCGTCCTCCTAAGACACCTAATGCGGGCCCCTCTGGCTGGAAGTAGGGGTTGGGAAGGGAGGTGTCTGTATGAGCAGCTGGTGGCCCTGGGAGGCCTGGCAGAAAAGGAGTGTAGCTGGGGCTACTGGGGTGCAAGAAGAACCAGTGGGGGAGGGGTGGGGCTCACGAGGCTTGTAGGGCCACCTGCATGCTCCTCCTCTAGGTGGCACTGTGGGGGCTTAGCAGGGACCCCTGCTGCTGGCTCTTCTGCAGTCCCTTGCTATGTGGCATGGAGATGGGCAGCCTCCCATCCACCACGGACAGTCTTCAGGGTTAATCCTCTTCCCTCAGGGAAGCCCCTGAGGCATCCCCACCCTACTCCGTCTCATTTTCTTTTAGACACATCCCTACGCTGTGGCTAGCTTTCCAGAAGGACCAGCGGTTCCAGGGAAGCACTCCCTCTCCCAGCTGCCCCCAAGTTACAATTCTCCAGCCTAGCCCCAGGTGTCCAAGAGGGCAGGGTCTGCCCCAGAAGTGAGTGCTTCGCTTGGGGCCTGACCTCTCCGGAGGGAGCCCAGGCTCCCTGCTATGGAGGGTGGGAGGACCCGGGGAAGGCGATGTGGGGTCCTCTGATACAGCAAGTACTGAGGGAGCGGTGAGCAGTGGGCATTTGCTGGGGAGGTAGATTTGGGGGCACACTGGAAGGATGGCCCTAGGGTGTCGTGGGCTCCATCTCCACTGTGTTAGTCTGGGAGCTCGGCCTCAAAGGGCAGTGGGCTGGGGAATGGGGAGAAAGAGCTCGCGGCTTAATTAGGCGCTGGAACAGCGGAGTTACCCATGCTAGCAGTAACTTTTAACTGTATCTCTTGAAATTGGTAAAATGGTGAGTCGGGCTGGGGAGGCATTGATTAATACCTGAGAAGAGAAACAACAGAGACCGTGAGAAGAAGGACAGGGGGCAGGGAGTCACTCACCTGGGCAACCAGGGCTCCACTTACCTCCACCGTGCTCTCCGCGGGCTTCTCCCTGAGCGCGGCTTCCCTTTTGGCTTTGAATGCAAAGAGCACAGGGCTCATTCTCCACTGGCTGAGCCAAGCCCCTGCCCCTCCCTGGCACCCCTCAAGCACCTCTGCAGCTAAGACTCAGGGTCATACTGCTCCCCACTGAGGTGGAGGTTGGGAGCCCCACTCTGCCACTTAGGAGCTGTGTGATCTTGGGCTAGATGCTACATCACCCTGGACCACTACAGACTAGAAGCTCTCTGCTGCTCTTTCTGGGGCTGGCATTGTGGAATCTGCTTTACCCACAGTCAAAGCCTTCCCAGTGCGGACTAAGAAAGCTGGCTTGGAGGGGCCCGGGCTGTGGGCACCATGTTCATCAGCCTCCGTGGACCACAGGCTTCTTGAGTGTGGGCCACACGGCTTTGCTCCCATCCCTGCAGACTGGCTGAGTGGGGAGGACTGAATGGGCTGAGACCTACATGGCACTCAACGGCAGTGCCTGGCACAATAAGAGCTCATAATGGCTCTGTAATTACTCCCAGGGCCTTCTGACTGGCCTGGCACAGCAGCAGGGACCCTGTGGAACCCCACGGACAGCTCGTTGGCTCTTTTTAGCTGAGTCACTCCTGGCTTCCACCCCCACACGGGAGGGAGCCCCACTCATTTCCCAACCCCCGGGGGTGCCAGTTTCCTCCTGCTGTGCACAGCCTCCTCCGCTTCCTGCAGCACTAGAGGGAGCTGCACCATTGTTTGGGAATGAGAAACACCCTGCTGTGGAGGGGACTAAGGGAAACATCCCTGGGGACAGACATCCGGGCCTAACCAGGGCGTGCCGCTTCCAGAAGAGAGGCAGGAGGGGATGGCAGGGAACGACACGCAGCTGAGGGCTGGCTCTGGGGTTTCACAGCTGAGCAAACAAGCAGCAACCCGTGTCCTATGACCTTATAGACAAGAGGAGCCCCACTGAAATCAGGCAGCAAGGAGAATTATGGACGCATGATGGCAGGTCAAACCCATAGAGGGAAGATTCCATCACAGTGAGAATCTCCATGTAGCGAGAAGAGCCCCATGTCCCGCTTGGAGAGTGAATCTCAGTCCCCACGCTGTCTGCTTCAAGTCAGGTGTCAGGGCCAACTGTGGCGGGCCACGGACCACACGGGGCCCACTGCAGTTTCTCAGCTCAAGCTGGCCTCCTGCTGTGACCCTGCCTTTCCAGTGCTCTACACAGGGCAGCAGCCATTCGAGAAGCGTGTGTTGAGTGTGAGAGTGAGTGGCTGAGTTGACTAACTGGTCCACAGTTGTGGATGGCTTGCTGGGATTTCACGGGAATGAGACTGAATTCTCACGCATCTCTCTTCATTCTCTTTATTTGGGACTAGGGGAGGGGAGATGGTGGAAACCTTGCCTGGCTCCCTGCAGGTGAGGGTGAGGTTGGGGTAGCAGGTGGAAGGTAGGGCACCTTGGGGGGCAGAGGGCACAGGTCTAGGGAACCTGGCCGAAGGAGGGGCCACCTCTGGAGCCAACTCAACTCAGTTGGAGTGAGCAATTCAACTGGAGAAACCATTAGAGAAGTGGAGTTTGAGGGTCTGTCTGGATTTGGGGTGGGCTGACCTGGGCCAGGGATTAGGGGTGCTTGTGGCGGGTTAGTGAAGGGACTGCATAGAGAAGAGCAAGATCCAGACCCTTCTGGTCACCCTGCCTTCTCACCCTGCCTGGCTGGAGAGTTTTCCTCATGGGGTTTCTCTTGACCTCGCCTGCCAAGGGAGACTGGCTGTGGGAGGGAAGGCCCGCTGCTGGGGCTGGGCTGCCAGGACTCTTGCCTGACTCCTCCAGGGCAGACGCTGACATCTCACATGGACTCTAGAACTCTGGTGCAGTTTGCAAAATGGACAGACACATTTCTCTCTCGCCTTCCTCCTCACTCCCACCACTAAAGCCCATGAGATTAAATAAGGCAAGCCTGGCGCTCCTCAGCAGAAAGAAACAGCCATGGGAACGGGCAGCTGTCCCCCAAAGATTCCCCAGGACCCACACCCAGGGTCCCTGAGTGGCCTCCATGTGGGCTGGTGCCCGGGGCAGAGTCCAGGCTCACCTGTTGGCGATCCTTGCTTTGACTGTGGGTCCCCCTGGGCTCCGCTGGGCTTGAAGGAGAGTGTCTTTGTTCCCTGCTGCTCCTCCAGCTCCCCTAAGGAATGGAGAGACCCGTGAGCAAGAGAAACGCTAAACCCAACACACAGAGGTTAGGGAGGAAATGAGGGGCAAGTGGGAAGGGGAGGAAACAGAGGAGGGGTCCCAGTACATGCTGTGGAACACAGACCTCAGGTCGGGCCCCATCACCGAATATCGAGTTAGACACCCCCTCAGAGCCACGGTCTCCTCATCTGTATGTGGGGATGATCATATCTGCTTGAACGTCAGAGAGGCACAGAAGACGCTGATGTGTGGGAGGTGAACTGCCTGGGTGTGAATCCTGGTTCTGATGCTCCCTGGCTGTGTGGCTCTAGGCAAGTTACCCAAACTCTCTACGCCTCACTTGAGGGGACAGCTGTGCCCACTTCAAGGTGTCATTAAGAGGACCTCGTGGGGAAATACATGTAAAGCACTGAGGACAAGGCCTGGCTAGTTCCCTGTAAGTATTAGGGTTCGTGTGAAAGCAATGGCAAAAACCGCAATGACTTTTGCACCAACCTATATCAGTTTTGTTACAGTGTGTGAGAAGCACCTGGCACAGCACAGCTCTCCACCTGGCACCTGGGAGGACGGAGGCTGCCTGGCCGGCTAAGCCTCCACAAGGTGTTCAAAGCTCTCCCAAGGAGGAAATTCCACACCGAGGGTGTGGAAGCTGCAAGTCTGCAGCGCCAAGGCATCTCCTGGGTACTTCACTTGAACTCCTCTCACTGGACCAGAAACCTGTTTCTTCTTGGTCTTCTCTCAGCGGAGTTTCGGAACTGCCGGCTGCCATCCTTGGAGATTTGACATCATTATGAAATCACTCCTCCGGCTTCTTTCCCAGGAGACATAACTCCAGTTCCTGTTATTAAAGCTACTCTCCTGGGCTCCATTTTCAGTCTCTCTGGTTGTGTAGAAACCAAAGACACTGAACTGCAGGCCCCAAACCAGAGCAATTTGTCCAGATTGCCTAGATCACACCATTGATCAGTGCTAAATACTTTTACTGAACCGAGAGTTCTTTCTCTCCTCCCAGAGGGGCTCTCTTGGCTTTGAAGAAATTAGCATCATAATTACAAGTGAGAAGTCCTGGGCCACTAGATGCAAACCTTGTTTTGTCACTGCCTGTGAACTTGGACAACTTCCCTAGACTTTTAGCCTGTTCCCTTATTTGTAAAATGAGGAAAATAATACCCACTATGAAAAGCTGTTGTGCCAGTTAGCCCAGTGCCTAGCATTTAAGTCCTCAGTAAACGGTAGCTGATACTGTTTTTCACTTTCTTTTTTGTAAAGATGAGGCCTTGCTGTATTGCCCCGGCTGCTCCTGAGCTTCTGGGCTCAAGCAATCCTCCCTCCTGAGCTTCCCAAAGTGCTAGGATTATAGGCGGGAGCCACTGAGCCCGGCTCATTTTCTTTCTTCTTTTTTTTTTTCCTGGCTTTCTTTCCTCCCTGTCTCCCTGGCCTGCCCTTCCTCTTTCCTCAGCTATTCCTTCCCTTTCTCTCCAACTGAAGGCTAAGAGCCAGTGATGAGCCGTTCTTCCTGCTCTTTTACCCTTGAGGCGGCAGGAGAGGATATTCACCTCCCGACATAACAGATTCTGACACTATCTGCTCCTCTGTGACTTTGCAAAGCAGGGTATGTGCCGCTCCTGGGCTGATGGGGGAAGGTGTCTCTCCCAGCAACGCTGGTGCCACTTGGTGTGCTGGCCCCCCAGGGCAGTTCAGAGCCATCTGGGACAGTTAGACAATGAGAGAAGTGAAGGTGCTTTCTTGAAAATGCTTCAGAACAACGGCAGAGGCAGCCTTTCTGGGCATCCAGTCCACCCCTTGAAAAGAATCTGTTTGTTTCACCACTGAATTCAAATAAGCCAACAGATTGAAGAAAGCGAGTTTACACGCACCCCTCCCCACCAAGCAGTTATCCTGAGTTCCAGAGTCTGGTCTAATGGATCTCATTTTACCCTGATTTAGATTGTTTCCTTAGAAAAAATAAACAAACGTCTTCTCTCACTCTCAGAGTGGAAAGCACAGAATCAAATGAAAATGAAACTGACAACTCCTCCGCTTCTAACACGCGAGACCTGGACACACGGCTTAACTCCTCCGAGCCTCAGCTGTCCCGTGGATCAATGCACCTACCTTTCAGCATCACTATGAGGACCCACAACATAGAAATAAACTGCTAAGCACATAGTAGGCACCTCAAAAATGGTGATTCAAAAGCACCAGCCCGTCACATCGATCCCCTGCTCAAAAACTCCTGCTACATTTCGTAGTGCCTAATGGATAGATATTAATTTAGAAACACTCTTAGCTAAGTGGCCATCTAGGCAGGCCTGAAGCCTGTTTTCATTTTCTATGTCAGTTTCTGTGTCCGTTCTTATTTAGTTTTCCCTTAAAGGCTATCTAGAGCTGCTGTGATAAGTACAAGCTTGCACGTGGGTACCGGTCACAGGCGCTTGCCGCTCTTCCCTCAACCCCAAAGCAGCCAATAAACCACCTGGACGCAGGAAGAGATCCACATATTTTCTAAAATGCCCGATGGGAACAATCTAGAATCTAGGCATTCCCTGGAGGAACAGAGAGACTACTATGAGGGTAGTAAGAAGGCAGCCTAGATTCTTCAAAAGGACAATGCTGTAAAAAAGTAAAGCAGAAGGATGATCCAAGATTAAAAGAGAGTGAAGAAATGAGGCCAACCAGATGCAATGCACAGACTTGGGCTGCAGTGGGGGAGGCTTCAGCAGAAGGTTTGGTGGGAAGAAAAAGCACTGGAGCCCCGTGGACCTGCCTGGCCAGCTCGCTTGGTCATCCTGGGAAAACGCAGCAGAACACTCTGTTCCAAGAGGCCCACACGCAGCCCCACGTGCCTGCTGATCTGTGTACACACGTGTGTGCACTCCAGCGTGCCTCATTTAAATCGTGAAGAAACATGATAAGTGGTGCTCCCACCTGGGCTGTGTGTGACTGGCAGCCAGCATGGTGCGGAGGTGCCTGGAGATGGGGAGGGTCCGAAGTGGGGCCAGGGCAGGGCCACGGTGCTCCCTGGAATCAGGGGTGTCTGTCTCAAGCTGCCCCTGTCCCTTGCTGAATGGGAGCCCCCACCAGCTGTCTTGAGGAGTCCACATCCTTACACTCTATCCGGATCTGCTCCAGCTCTGTCACCTCAGCGATGGACTCCTTCAGGTCCTCCACGAACTTCTGCATCTCATCCGAGCCCAGGGCACAGAAATGCAGCACCTGCTTCTTCTCGGAGCCCGAGAGCGGGGTCACCAGTGTGATGCCATGAGAGTAAACTGGAAAGCAGACCCAGGCCCCAGTGGGCTGTGAGCAGCAGCAGCTGAGGGCTGGAGCCAGCCAGACAAGAGGAGGGCATGGGGCTTTTGGGGCACTCATGACTCCATCCACCCTACTGTCCAGCCCTTCTTCCTCAACTCGCCCCAGCCACTTCATTCATTCATTCTCAAAGACTTACACTCATTCTCAAAGAGGTGGAACTGCATGCCCAGCAGGCCAACTGACTTGCAGAAGGTATACGTGGAGGCGCTCTTCTTCTTTGGACAAAGTTTGAGAATCTGTTCAGGAGATAGACATGTGCCGATGTGCGGACACTCATGGAAACACACGTGTGCACACATGAATATGCAGACACCCAGGGGGACACATGAGCTCACAGGGAAACACACGCAATGATGAACGTGCACATACAGACACACATACACATATACGTACACACACTATACCAAAATGTGCTTCTTTACTGCACAAAACCCTCCAGGGCCTGAGCTGGCCTGTAAAACCCATCTGACAGGGTCCCTGCCTTACTCTGGCCTTCTGCCCAAGCCACAGTGGCCTCCCTTCTGTAGCTTGAGAAGGGCAAGCTCAGTTCCACTGCAGGCCCCTTGCACACGCTGTTCCCACTCCACAGCTCTCCCAGAAGCTTTCTGCATGGCTGCATTACTCTCATTACTTAGATCTCAAATGCTGCCTCCTTAGAGATGCCTTCCTGGACCATCCCCTCTAAAACACAAACCGAAGCAAGCCCAAACCTGCCCTAGTCACTCTCCCTGCTGTCACCTGGTTTGCGACCTTCATAGCACCTTCCCCCCATCTGATAATACCTTGTCTGTTTTCTTAATTATTTTCTATCTATCTCCCTCACCTACTAAAATGAAAGCTCATTTTAGTAAAGTCATCTGGTTGCTCAATAAACACATTTCTATTCAGCACCTTCTCTGAGCTGGGGCCTGGGAATTCGGGAGAACTCGGGACACAGCCCCTGCCCTCCAGGTGTTTATGGGATGTGGAGGAAGACAGTCAGAGTGTCCATCAGGTGATTAAACAATAAAGCATAACAGCAAAAAGCCAAAACCAAGATGCTAAGTGTTTTGAAGAGAATGAAATAGGGTAAGGAACAGAAAGTGACTGGGCAGCCCACCTTACGAGGCAGGCAGGGAGGGCCTCCTGGAGGAGGTGACATTTTATTTGAGACTTGAATGAAAAGAAGGAGGCCAGGAAGGCAAGAGGAGGGTGCAAGTTCTGGAGGAGCTTTGCAAGAAGGAGCAGCAAGAAAAAAGGCCTGCCCCGCAGGAGGGAGGTGGCTCACGGGGGGCCGAGGAGAGGGCGGGGAGGCAGGTCAGCGGAAGGGGCCATGGGGCCTAATGTGCACTCCAGAGAGATCACACTGCTGCTCTCTGGGGGGTGAACCCTAGAGCTGGGGAAAGCAGCGTGGAGGCTGGTGTGGTTTGCCAGGTGTGTCGCTGAACCTACCAGGCATGCACTAAGACTGTAGCAGTGTGGTGGGAGGTCGTTGAGGCTTGTGATCATTTTAGAGGCAGTGCCAATGTGGCTCATGGATCGAGAGGGCCGGTGCGAGAGAGAGACAGACCTGATTCAGTCCTGCTCACCGTTTCCCAGACCTACAACGAGGCGTGGCGCACGGCCAGCACTGATTAAATACTTATTGAATGGATATCTGTTTTCAAACAGCAAAGAAAGAGTATCTGTGGCTACAGATGTGTGCATGTGCATGGGTTCGTGCACACGCGCACACACACACACACGCAGATACACCAGCCTCGCCTAGGCCCAGGGACAGAGCACACTCCGCCGAGGCCCTGTTCCTCCCAGCCCTGGGGTGTGAGGCACATACATCCCTGTGTGTTCCCTGCCCAGGGCTTCCTGGAGTGTGGAGAGGCCATACTGGGATTGAGTTCATTTACAGTTTGATTGTGCAACCATGAGCAGATCACCTGATGTCTGGGTGGTGTCATCACTTATGAGAAGGAATTAGCATGTCTGCCTGAGCCGCCTCACGCCCACAGCGTGGAAGCACCATGAAGGCAGATCGGTCCCACGGAGCAGGTGTTCTGTCTGAAACCTCTGGGCGTCCTTTCCTGTCCACTTCTGCAACCCTGCGCAGGCTGATCAGGGCAGCAGGCAGCCCCCACCTAGCCCTGTCCCGGAGCAGGAGCCACTTACCACGAGCAGGTCGTTGAAGAGGAACACCTCCCTCTGATGCGCTGCCTGCTTCTGCAGCTTGTTCACATCTGTCACCTCAAAGAGCCGGCTGCAGCACACCAGGCGGCGGTGGGGCACGGACAGCACCTGTGCACAGGATGTGGCACTCAGCGGGAGAGCAGAGGCCTCGAGGCCTCCCCACCCGCAGCGCCCACTTTCCAGAAGAGGAGATGGGGCCCGGGGAGAGGGGAGGGCTCTGGTTCTGTGGCGGGGCGGACTTGACTCTCCCCCTCCTCTCTCCTTGTCTGAGGTTCTTTTCCTCGAATGCTCATACCCTGTCCCCAGGGCTCATCCTCGTCATGTCTCTTGGGGAGCGGGGCCAGAGGAGAAGGGGTTCACTAAGTCAGAGTAAATGAGGTGACGGAGGGACAGGAACAGGAGATTGAGAAGAGCTTTCAGGCTGTTCTAATCCAGCCACTGTCAACCTGCTTCCCTCTATGACCTTGAGGGCATCCCCTGTCCCAGGCTGTGGCCTGCAGATATGACACCTCCACCCCTTCTCTATTGCACAGATGCAAGTGTGCAAGAATGAGGGGATCACAGGGACATCTGGCATCTACTCCAGCATATAAGACAAGCCAGTTGCTTGCAACCAGACAGATGCTAAGATCTCAGCAATAAAAGCTCTCAAAGCAAAAAAGACTGTCCCTGCACAGACTGGGTGGAGGGAGCCCAGCTCAGAAGAGGTCTCCAAACTCCAAACTGTCCCGAGCCAGCAATTTAAGGAGGAAGAAATGGAACCCCCACGACATCCTTTATATTTATAGTATAAAGTGGAGCAGCCTACAGAGAAGGCCCACTTTAAATATCATTGCAGGCTTGGAACATGCTGCCGGGGACACAGGTCACTACCAATGGGGAACCTCAATGGTGATGCCACAGCCTAGAGCCTATTGAGCCCACTCCTGCCTTCTACTCATCAGAACCATCCAGGAATGCCTGGTATTCATGCTGTCCCAGGAAAGGGATCCTGAATCGCTTCTGGCCACCCAGATGCTTCCACCCTAGACCACTGGGCAGTCCTTCTTGACATCTCATCTCACTCTCTCCTGCTGCAGTATCTGGTGGCAAGAAGCAATGAGGAAATGAGGCAAGAAAAAAAAGAGATGCAGTGTCCGGCACACAGGAGGTACTCCGTAACTACGATGTGAACGAAAATGAAGAAAGAGTTTTGGAAAGGTAAGGAGGAGAATGGAAAGGAAAAAAGGAGAGACAGGAGATGGGTGACTTGTGGACACTCACCGTCTTCATGCCCACAATGGACTTCTCCACCTTGGTGACGTATGTGACGTGGTCCTCATTGGACTTGAGCTCCTTCTGCTGTATCCTCTCATAGATGCCTACCACTAGCTCCCGGGGGATGTCAGCGCCATCATCCACACCTAACAACGTGGAGTGGGCAGGGGAGGTGGTGGAGTTGGGAGGGGGGTGTCAGAGCCCCAGAGACGGACAGAAGAGACCCCCACCCAGCCTGCAGCGCCTAGGGGGTCGCCTTGATTTTCGCCATGCTGTGTTTCAAAGCCTTCAATGGCTGGTGCCTCATACCCATTAAATTAAGAACAAGCTCCTTAGCCGGGCACCAAAACTAACAATGTAATATGGCCCCAAGACACATTTCCTGCCTCATCTCCCGATGTTCCTCAACCAGAGTCTTCGTGCCCACCTCCCAGGCCTCTTTCCTGATGGCCAAATACAGCCTCCATGTTCCTGCCGACCCTCTGTGCCTCTGCGGTCCTACCATCTTGCTTGTGTTTGTCTCACCCCCTTCTCCACCCCAACACTCCAGCATCCTGCCAAGGTCCTGTCTTGTACTCTTTTGGATCTTCCTCCTCCTGGGCCTCCCCTCCCCTCCAGTAGGGAGCGAGGTGTAGAGGGATTAGTTTATGAAGAGATTCCTCCCTCCCTGCCAGCAGGGGAGAGCAGGCAGACCCTATGCAAAGCAGGCGAGGACACCCCATCCTGCCTCCTGCTTCGTAGTAATGATTAAACTCTGGCAACAAAAAAAACACCGGCGAGGAACATGCCAACAGGCAAACACGTTTCTTCTGGAGAAACAGGCAATTAAAATATCTTCTTCTACTATTTCCACATCTTTCTTTAATGACTATATGCTTCTTTTGTAAGAGGGAAAAATTAAAAATAAAACAACTTTGGCAAGCATCTCTCAAAGGAGTGTTCCCAGCTACTGAGAGGACACCGTGCCTTCTATGCACAGCTCCCTGCCTGGTCTGGCTTCTTCCACATCTGATCTTTGGCTCAGGCAAATGAGCCATGCAGAGCCAGGGGGACTGAAAGAAATCAGGCTGCGGGTAAGAAAAAGCAGGGAGAAAGCCTGAGTTCAGAAAGCCTCCAGTTCAGGATGGCAGGCTGCATGCCTCTGTTGCTTCTGAATACTCGGGAGAAAGGAATCTTTTAGAAAGGCATAAACCCACAAAGACAGAGAACAGGAGCAAAGACACAGGCGCCCCATGACCTAGAAAGTGGACAAGTAAGTGCATAGATTAGCAAACCCGAGAAAGCTGAAACCTAGACCAGCAGAGAGGCTAGAGGCCGCGCGAACACCACACAGCCCCCAAAGGGCTTCGAGCCAGGGGCTTCAGCAGCCCCTGAAGGCGAAGGTGAAGGTGGGCTGGAAATAGGAAAACAGGCTGAAAATGGGTTAGAAAGCTGCTGGGCTTCCCTATCCCCTCCTCACTCCAGCAGAAGACTGGAGGTCCATTCTCTAGAACTCCGGGCTGAGGAACTCCACAACCAGGGTAGGGTGGGAGTCTGCTGAAAACCGGGGGATGAAGTTGATATCTATATATTAATCCTCAACCCCACTTCCCAGTTAACGATCTCAGAACTCTGGCAGCCAGAATCATACATTTTGGGCAACAGATTGGACATTTATCTTCTGGGTATCAGCCAGAACAAGAAAAAAAAATCTGATGATACTGCAGTGGGGGTCTCCCAATGAAATGGCTTAACTAAATCACCCTACGAGAAAGTCTACCAACAAGCAGGCTCCACCCGTGCTCACAGAGGTATTCACCAGCTTTCGGGTAGCTTGCTCTTAAATATTAATGAGTAACCAGATTTCATCAGCTGTATTCAGAAAGTCTATACCATGAAAGAGAAAGAAATATGGGGGGAAAAAAAACCAGAAGAAATAGAGGCAAGCAGGGAGAAACGCAAACAAGCAAACGAACCAATATTAATATCTTCACAGAGACGGGAGAAGATATTGCATCTGCAAAGCCAGAATTAAATGCGATAAAAGAGGAACATTGAGAGGACAGAAGAGAGCTATTGAGAATAAAAAACATGACCGCAGGAATGAAAAACTTGGTAGGAGACTTGAAAGACAGCGTTGAGGACATGTGTACTGAAGGAAGTCAACAAAGATGGCAGGTAGAACACTATAGAAGTTAGAGGATCAGACTAGGAGATTCACCAACAGAATAACAGGAGTTCAGGAAAGAGAGTCCAGGAAAATGGAGGGCAGAAATGATCAATACAGCATTGAAGAAGACTTCCCACGACTGGAGGGCATGAGTTTCTAGATGGAAAGGACCAATCCAACCCTGGGCATGATGGAGGAAAGAACTGTACCACTGCGTGAAAATCCGGAACACAAAGGGCAGACAGCAGAACCTGCAAGCTTGAGAGAGAGAGAGAGAGAGAGAGAGAGAGAGAGAGAAACAGACAGGAGGCCAGCAGCTGGGATGGCGGAGCAGCACTGGCAGCTAAAAGACAGTGGAGGAATACCTTTGAAATCCCGATCAGCATGTTTTCAGGCTGCAATTCTATCCTCAGCCAAACTCCCAACCAAGGGCAAAGACAGAAGAAGACAGATTCAGAAATGCAAGTTCTCAAAAAGGGCCTTTTCTCTGGAAGTAAACTAAAAATGAGGAAGCTCTGACATGCGGGAGCCGGGAGTCTAACACGAGAGGGAGGAAAGGAGGCCTGGGATGCCGGCTGTCCCTGGCCCAGCCACCGTCCACGCCGGAACAGGACCAGAGGCTCCCGGAAGATGACGCTCCTGCACCACCTCCTGGGTCTGGATGTATGGAGAGGAGCTTGACACGTAGGGTGGGAAGCTGGGGATGAACCAGAGGAGGCACACTGAGAGTTCAGCAAATGGAAAGAGAAGCATTAACTCCAAGGAGAAGTAGAGATAGGAAGGAGTTGCAATCATTCTGCACTTGCAGACTCAGCTTTGGAGTGTGAGTGGAGCCTTAATAACGTGAACACTGACATGACTGGGATGGGTCAGGGAAGGTGAATGAAAGAGGGCTAAACCCTTACTTTCTATAAAGAGGAATTCATAGATAATGCTTAAAATAAAAATAATTAACAAGGGCCAGGCACGGTGGCTCACGCCTGTAATCCCAGCACTTTGGGAGGCCGAGGCGGGCAGATCACCTGAGGTCCGGAGTTCGAAACCAGCCTGGTCAACATGGTGAAACCTTATTTCTACTAAAAATACAAAAATCAGCTGGGTGTGGTAGCGCACGCCTGTAATCCCAGCTACTCGGGAGGCTGAGGCACAAGAAGTGCTTGAACCTGGGAGGTGGAGGTTGCAGTGAGCTGAGATTGCACCACTGCACTCCAGCCACAGCAACAGAAATAATAATTAACAAGGAGCAGCGTATAAAAGAGACCAGATACCAAAGCGTAAATACTGTATATCCTTATTTAGATGAAGTTCAAGGACGGGCAGGACTCATCAATGGTAACAGAAGGCAGAATAGCTGTTACTCTTGGGCAAAGTTATGGATGGGGACGGGACAGGAGAGAACATTCTGGGCAGGTGAAAGTGACCCAGATAGGAATCTGGGTGTGAGGACACAGTGCACATGCACATAAACGCTCACCCAGCTTGTGGCTTACACACTCACAGTATGAACTTCATGCCGGTTACAAAAAGAGACAGGAAAAAACAAAGAATCAGAAGCATGTGGTTTAGCCATACAGAAGAAATGTAAATCGCTAAAAACGTCAAAAGTGGTGGCCCCTGAAGTAGGTGAGTAGGAGAGGGGCAGGGACTATTTTTTTTTCCTGTGGTAATCCTGTAGGATTATTTGACTTTATTAAATTATGTGCGTGTATAACTTTCTTTTAAACATCACTTGAGCACACATCGCACTTTGCCAGCCCTGGAGGCAGGCAGTGCACTGCTCCAGCAAGAAGGACCTGCCGGCCGGTGCCAGAGAGTTATCTGCCGGGCTGACTCGAAGGGACCCAGGACCTCAAGGCTCTGTTCCTGTCTCCTTCCTCATAAGTTGTGGAGGGGAAAGGCTGGCACCACTGAGCCACCAGCTCTGATGTCAGGGGCCTAGAGCCAACCCCGTTCCATGGAGGGCAAGAGGCACTGCCCAAGGTGCTTGTTGCTTTGGTTGCAAGTCCCCAGCTGCCTGGCACAAAAGCAATGTTCCCAGCCTGCTATGGGTGACCAAGCCCAGAGAGCAGGTGACACTCTGTGATAGGGACGCACGCTCATAGAATGCAGGCTGCACAGAATGAGACCTGCACCGTGGCCTTGCCCCTTCTGGCCCTGTGCCCATCTCCTCACCGCGAAGGTTTCGGATGAAGTCTTCCAGCATCATCTTCCGGTCAGGCTTGATATTGGGGCTGTACATGTCGGTGTTGAGGAGGATGATGGCGAAGGCGAGGATGAAGATGGTGTCGGGGTTGTGGAACTGCTGCACCACTTCGGGGTTGCACATGCAGTAGCGCTGGCTGGGGGGAGGGTCAGAGGCAGAGCGATGCTGAGACCCCGCCCACCCTCCCCCAGGCCTCAGCAAAGGAGGGGAGTGTCCAGGGAGTGTTCCAGCTCTCTTTAGGTCCGGGAGACCACCCTATACCATATCCTGGTCTTCCCCGTACCTCCAAATGCCCCACGTTTCCAGCCTGGGGAGCTTGAGGGCTCAGTCTCTTTTCTTTTCTTCACTTCTGTCTCCCCAGCCCATCCTCCTGCCCACACCAGAAGGGATGTTTCTGGCCCCTGCCCAAACCACCTGACAGTGTTTCCTGTCTCGGAGAGGCCCAGCTTCCCCACCCTGGGGTCTGCTGGGGAGTGCCCCTACCTGAAGGCCTCGATGAGCCGCTCCACCTTCTGGGCCTCCCCCTGCACACGGATGTGTGCCTGGAACTTGCGCAGGGCCTCGTCCAGCTCCATGCTGGAGAAGTCCATCTCGTCCACCACGCAACTGAGGGCAGGCAGGGAGGGTGTGAGGCCAGGCAGACCCCTAAGCACCCCCAACACCCATTCCTGCTGGCCTCTGTTCCCAGCCAGGATGGGTGCAGGGCCCCCAAGGCTACTCACCCCCAGGGGTCTCCTTTTTTTTTTTTTTTTTTTTGAGACGGAGTTTCGCTCTTGTTACCCAGGCTGTGGAGTGCAATGGCACGATCTCGGCTCACCGCAACCTCCGCCTCCTGGGTTCAGGCAATTCTCCTGCCTCAGCCTCCTGAGTAGCTGGGATTACAGGCACGCGCCACCATGCCCAGCTAATTTTTTGTATTTTTAGTAGAGACGGGGTTTCACCATGTTGACCAGGATAGGATGGTCTCGATCTCTTGACCTCGTGATCCACCCGCCTCGGCCTCCCAAAGTGCTGGGATTACAGGCTTGAGCCACCGCGCCCGGCCTAGGGGTCTCCTTTTAATGCCCCAAGAGGACTGTCTCCTCCCACCTCCCACAGTAGACCTTCCAAAGCCCAAATCCTGAGGCCACGAGAGGCTTCAGTGGCCCAGGACACAGGGGTGGAGGGAGGTTGAACTTGGGTGTTCCCACTCCAAATCCTAGTTCCTTCCTCCTTAACCTCAGGGTATCTCAAGCAAAGCTTTCAACATAAATAATGCAGTGAACACATTTACTCTCCTGTTCCTTCAGCGAACTGCTGGGAGCCTGTGTTTCTCCCTGGTTTAAATTTCACTTTCTCCTTTGGGTTTTGAGGTGGCTGAGTCCTCCCTTGGGTCCCCTCTGCCATAGGCTGAACGGTAAGGACTAGAGCCCCTCAAGCCCCTGGGACTCTCTGCAGCCCAGTCCCCTCCAACTGCCCCAGCGCTCAGGGGAGGCTGTGGTGGGAGGTGTGGCCTCTGAAGAGTAAATGACACATGCGATTAACGTGAGGACACAGCCAGACACACAGGGCCAGATTCTGGTCCTGACCCTCCTGCGAACTTGGTGTGACTCTGGCTCGCCCCCTCACTCCTGGGGCCTCCATGTGACCTTCTGAAAAGGGAGGAGGCTGGAGTCCCTGCTCTCCAAGGGCCTTGCTACCTCTGAAATGCTGCCTCCAACTCTAGAGGGTTTGCCTCTGAATGTCGGAGCTTCAGTGTGAGTGTGTGGGGTCACATGTCAGTTCCTGCAGCTAAGCAGGCGCCTTCCTCTGGTCTAGCTCGATCCAGGGGACTCTCCACTGCAGGGCTGGAGGGCGAACCCTCCCAGTGCCCTCACTCTCCCTCACCTCCCTTTGGGGTGCTCTGTCCCCAAGGCCATGTACAGCAAGGAAGGAGTCCAGGCCCGGCAAAGCAGGGGACCCAGTGTCCCCTGGGCATTGCTTTCCCTTTGGGAGAAGCAGACCACAGGCATTAGATGAGATGGACTCTCAGAACTGATGTTTGCCCACTCTGCACCCACTCTCCCTGGTCTCCTCCCACTGGCTGTGGCACAGCCCCTGCACACTGCCCCCGACACTGCCCACTGCTGGCGCGCAGCCCCTTTCTGCTCCCACGGTCCCTTGGTCCGCCTGCCCAGCACACCAAGGACACAGAAAGCACCTGCTGAGTGGCCCTGTGATGGTGGCATGAACTCTGAGCAGGACCCACTTCCTCTATGACCTCAGCTTCCGTTCTGCACCCTCTGCCTAGAAGAGATGGAGACCCCAACTCTGCTGTCAGTTTTTAGGAGAAAACAAGGGGTGATGCCACAGCGACGGTGGTCAGGGCTTGGTGGTCCATGGACTCTGCCTCTCCCACAGTTTTCTGGGGAGAACAAGGAGGAAAGAGCATCACTGAAGACTCTTAGAAAGGGAGGGGTGCCGAGAGGGAGCTGGGAGTCTCTCCTTCTCTTTCTTCTTTCCCTGCCTCCCGAGGCAGGGCCCATGGCCATCTTCAGGCTGCAGGCTGTCCTTGGCTTGGTCAATGCGGGCATCTCTCAGGCTTGCTGGCCGGGATGGAGGGAAAGTGAGGGTGGGGTTAGGGGTGGAGGCGAGCATCTTGCCCAAGCATGAGACTCGGCAGCACCAGGGTCAGGGCATTTGAGGTGAATGGCTGGGGAACAGGGGCCTCTAGGGCCAGCCAGGCGAGAGGCTACTCTGATTTCCCGGTGACCCTCGTCACCTCCACCCTGCATGCTCTGCAGCTGCACATGAGCTCCGAAGGCCCTGTGCAGCCACATGCGTGTGTCCCCATAGCCCACCCCATCAGGAGTCAGCACTGGGCACAACGGAGCCACACAGTGACACTGCCCAGGGCTGGTGACCAAGGGGTTGTGGTCCAATGGCTATGGAGGCAGAGCCTGGAGGAGGTGAACCAGTGTGGTCACGTAGCACGGGAGTCAGCGTGCAGGACAGGGAGATGGAGCTGGGCAGCGAGGGACAAGGAAAGTCTAATGAGAGACAGAGAGAGCAAGGAGAGAAAGAGAGGCAGCGACAGGCAAGGAGGAAAAGGCAGGAGCAAGATCCCAAAAGGAGCAAGACCGGAGAGCGAGACAAAGAACAAGCGAACAACAGAGACAGAGGGAGAAGGTGGGGAGACAGAGAGAGACACGAGGACAGAAAGAGACAGGGGGGAAAGAGGAAGAGACAGACTGGCAGAGATAAAGATGTGAAGTGTGCTGCTGATTGGTGGGGCGGCCACATCCCACCCTCTCCACCTAGGGGCACTACCTCTAGAGAGGCCAAGGAAGAGGCCTGGGTCCTCACAGGGCCCCATAATGGCCCTTGGTCCCTCTGAGTGGCATCCTGCTGCTCCCCAGGACTTGCCCCCATCTGTTCTGTACCCTGCCCCTTCCCTGTTTCTGAATGCTGAGGTTCTGGCACCCAGCCTCCCACATCCATCTTCTTCCCACAGCCTCCTTCTGCCCCAGAGCTACAGACTAGGTCTCACCCTGCAATGGTGGGGGTGCCAGGAGGCCCCGGGCACTGTGGGGGCAGGCTTCATAGGAGGCTGTGGGAGCAGCTGGCGAGGGTGGGATCTGCCCAGCCAAGCACGATGGCCCAGTTTCCAGCCGTTCAGTCAGGTGACAAGCAGCCGCTCGCTCGCTCAGGGCTGCGGCTGAAAGCACCAGTAATGAGCCGGGAGCCTGAGAGCCAAGGGCTGGGGCGGGAGAGGCAGCCAGGTGGAAAGGCTGGCCCACAGGGTGAGAGCTGCACACACCCCTCTTGGGCTGCAGGGGTGGACACTTGGGCTGCGGAGCTGGCGGGGCCTCTCATCCAACATCTTGCAGTGTGTGCTCTCAGAACCCCACAGCAGAGTCATAAGGTGGTTTGTTAAAACACAGATCGCTGGGCCCCACCCCAGATCCAGCAAATTAGAATATTTGGAGGCGAAGCCTGGGAATCAGCATTCTCTGCAAGATCTCCAGGTTGTTCCTAAATTGTGAAACCAACGACTGAGCTGAGTGCAAGGGCAGGCCTCACTGCAGGCTTTTAAAGTGCAAGTCTAGCTGCTCACAGGCCACCAGGCAGCAGTCCTCAGGAGCATGTGTCCCCCCCTGGCTATTGGGGCTGCTTTTCCAGCGGAGGTGGTGAGGGAGGGGTGGATGGAGGCATAAACAGAGGTAGTTCTCCCCCTGGCTGTGCATCCCTCGTCCTGCCTTCCTCCCCTCCCTGCATTTGCCACCACAGGGTATCCGCGATCCATGAACAGGTGTTATCCTGGGTTTCTCAGACCCTGGGGGAAGCTGACATGTTCTGGCTGTGAAAGCCCCAGCTGGAGGGGAGGAAGCTGTGCTGAGTGATGGGACACTCTACCCTCCTGCATGACGAGGCCACTTCCTCGATAGAGAGCTGGGGGTTGGATCAGGTGACCTCTCAGGACTGGGGCCCAGAGGCACCGGCTATCTCTGACACAGATGCTCCCAACGGCGGGTGGCAGACAGCCACAGCAGCACTTCTGGCTGGCTGGTGGCTTCGGCCCCACCCTCCTCCAGGGGGATCACTGATCACTGTTTGCCTTCCTGATGGGGCCTGTGTCATCCTGGGGAAGGTGGCTGGGGTGGGACTGTGCTGTCTACCATAAGCCCTGCTCACTCCAAGGTCCCCATCTCCCGGAAGCACCCATAAACCTTGGCCCTCTCCAGCACTAGCCTCTGTTCACTCCCTGAGCATAAGCTTCTGCCTCCACCGTCCCCTCTTTGTCTCGCTCCCCTCTCTCACTCTCTGTCCTGCTGCTTCTCTTCTCTTGCAGCGTCTACCAGCACTCCTAATCCCCGCCTTCCAGCCTTCTTTGCTGCCCTGGAATCTTCATGGGGAGCTGAGTATGGACAGTTTACCAAGCTCACCCCGCAGCCCCCACCCAGCACAGTCTGCAGTCCTCTCTCCTCGTTGGTCATCTTTAAGGTAAAGAGCACTGCACATTCCCGGGGGGTCTTTCCTGGTGTATCATCTCCCCGTTTTACAGAAGACAAAACCAAGGCCACAGAGGGCTTGCTCCACACTCCCGCAGGTAGGCTTTCGGCTTCCTCGTCTTGGGAGGCCTCTCCCTGCCCCACTGGGCTCTCTCCTCTCCACTCCTGTGTGTGCATGGGGCAGCAAGGGGTCCCTCATGCCAGTGGGGGATGCTACCTCCAAGCTCTTTGCTGAGTATGGCTCTAAGTGCTTTGCTAAACATGCAAAGACTTCATCTTCTCAAGCCTGTGCAATAGGAACCATTATCCCAGTATTTTTTTATTACATACAAGACTTCAGTACACAAGAGAGGCAGCCCTGCAGGCGGACTGCACACATCTCATTCCTTGCTGTCGTCTCCCAGACCAGGTGGCCCCCTGTGCCCTCCCCTCCCCCACCCCTCCCTGGCTCTCTGCTGCTCAGTGGCTGGCGCTAATGCATGTCTTCCTAGGGGCTGTGATCTTACCCAGATGGCTTGGTGGGGACCTGAGAGAGGCCGAGGGGAAGCAAGTGGACACAGTTACACAGGCGTGCTTATTGGTGCATGCATGGGCGGTCAGCACGGGGCTCTGTGGTCACCCTGCAGGTTCAGAGCT